ATTCAGCGAGATTGATTATTATATTATCATTGATACTACTCTCACCTCACAATAGAGCATCTTTATAATACTCTCTGCAATACTTTGAGCATGATTTTTGACTGGAATACACAGGAAATAAGCAGCAGCTCCATATATTTGGTTGATCAAGGTCATTACTCAAAATGGGATCACCACATAACTGAGAAAACATCTCTGGAGCGTCTGTCCTCTATCGCTTAAGCGATTTTCGAAGATACTTTAATAGTATCGTTACTATCTGCAATAATGTGTCCAAAGTTTTCGATTAGTTTGAAAAAGGTTGAAATGAATAATATTTCAGACAGATTACGAACGTAAAGCTGAGGCAGCTTGTAATGTGTCGTTTCGAAACGAAGAACGAGACGTCGAAACAATGCAAGATATCAATAAACTTCTCATTGAGAACATTCTTCCATCATGCGTTGCCGCAAAATTTCTTGATCCAAATCGACCGATCAATGTAATCAAATTCAAAATGTTAAACTTGAAACCTTAAAACTCATGAAAGTCTCTTTTATGATAGCTATTGAGAGTGTGAAAGCAAGGTTCAACGTCAGTTTATGAAATGGTTCCCCGAGAAACTGCTAAAGATCGCCATTTTGTTCATTAGCTATGACGACATTTTGTGCAAACCTTGAAACTAACTGTTCAGTATTTCAAATAATCAACCGCATGATGCGATGAGTAAATTGCATCCAATCTGGGATGACTGAATAATGAAGTTTTCGAAGAAAGGCTTAGGAAGAAAGCCCATTGTGAAATTTGAGGTGGTTATCAAGAATGTGCACTAAGGATGTTGAAATTGTAAATGCATTAGTCGGGAAAAATTCATTCCGAGGCGGTTATGAATAACATAAGCAACACATTTCTTGCCATAATGACCAATAATGTCATGTATGACGTATTCTAGCTCGGTAGTGAGTCTATATGAGAACATACAAAGTGATGTCAGCAAACTGAACGCAGTCAAAACAATGGACATGAACGCAACGAAGTCGAACTAATCCGACTTTCAAAATGTTTTTTGTGGAAGTAATCCGATTTTGTTGTTTGTTCTTTAAGGAACTCTATGCGAAAGGCCATGAGAATGTGTGCGTTATGTTTGCGAGTATACCGAATTTCAAGGACTTCTGGGGACAATGGGATACATCCAGAAAATTGGAGTGCTTGCGACTTCTTAACGAGATCATTTGTGAATTTGATAAGGTACAATGGCATTCGTGCAATTATTTCATGCCTCTGTTTTTGAGTCATTGTATGATGCCAAATTCACTGAGCACTTTAATTTAAATTGATTTCATGTCGGCATCANAATCACTTTCAGTTGCTTTCAAAGCCAAAATTCAGTAGTATTGAAAAAATCAAGACCGTCTCCAGTACGTATATGGCAGCCGCAGGTCTGAACGAACAGGAAACTGTCGAAGACGATTGCGTTAGTGTTTAGGCCACCAGGCTTCTCAAACCCTCTCGATGTCACCGGAAAATCGGAATGAACTGCCCTTCCACATCTCTAATAATCGCTTTATGAACAGTTCTATGAATAGCACACAAGCTGAAAGCTTTCTGATAACGAAAACTTCACTGCGATCAAATTTTTCTCATAGAGACAATTTTTCACAGAACATTTGGCGAAAAAACTTGATTTATCCTCAATGGATTTGCCTTCATCTTAACTGTCATTAAATGCCTAAAGAAGTGCTCATTTTGGACACATATGGAATTGAAACTCAATCAACCACATCAGATTCATTGGGTTTTAGTCATAAAAACACGCCTGTAAATGATTTTTCGTAAACATCTGACAAATTTGCATCAGGATTTGTTAACACCACTAATATTTTTACTTTTGTTGTGGTTGTCACTATTAAGTCCATTTGCAGGATTATATCGATGCAACAGAGTGGAGCGAGAAAAAGAAGGCTGATAACATTGTATGTGTTATCGAAATATTGCTCGCATGTAAATGATCTGATCAGATACTATGTATTCTTATTGATCAACTGAATTTTCTTCCAATTTAGCTTTTTCGAAAACGAAGTTTTCAAAATGATGAAATTAAGGGATGTAAGGCACAGACGAAATCCTATATCATCGCTATCATTATTAGCTGAAGTACATGACATATTGCTGTTGAAATCGCACACAAAACCACTTAAAAGATGTTCTTTTTGGGTGATTATTTAAGGATTTATGAAAGTGTTCCAGGCCTATCGTAATGCTGCCGTGATGGTGGAGTTTTCGGCAGCAATGTGCTCCATTTTGGATCAACTCAATAGGGACTCATTTCAAAATTTCCAACTTCGAATCGGTTAGTTGTTCAGATTGGTAAAAGTTCACAAATTTTTGAAATATCTTCCATCTCACAATCAGCATAAATTCCCCTCGACTTTCGAGCATTCAGTTATTTCAACCATCCAAATTGAATGTTTCAGTGGCGCTGACTGAATTCTTCTCATAATTTCAGGCATGAGTAGTGGACCATTGGTAGCGGGTGTAATTGGTGCACAAAAGCCACAATACGATATTTGGGGGAATACAGTAAACTTGGCGAGTCGTATGGACACCTATGGGGAATCGCGTAAAATTCACGTACGCTACTGAATGAAATTTTGCGAACTAATATTCGGCAAAGCATCGGAATCTATTTTGGAATTCTTATTGATTCGCTATGAAAAGTCTCAACCCTTTCACAGTGAAAATCCTAATGTTTCACAAATTCAGATGACTGAAGAAATGGGAAAATTACTGCAACGAGGCGGTTATTCAGTGCAGAGCCGGGGTAAAGTCAAAGTTAAAGGTGTCAAAGAACCGATCGAGACGTATTTTTTGTCGTTGGATTCGAAACGAAATTCATCGATCAGCCTAAGCTCACAACCGTATTCACTTCTGCAAAGACACCAACAAAATTCTCTTTAACGTTCTTGTCGTTTCCT